TCTATTGAACATTGTAGGGCTTAGCTAGCAGCTTCATTGCTGTTTTCCCCTCACTTCCCTTTATCGGTGACCAATATGGTCACCAATCAGAGTGTGTTTTCCCTACTCCCCTCTTTTTGTTACAAAACCTCTACCTTTACAGTTGTGACAGTTGCAATTAGTTATGATAATAATTACTCACTATTGAATCCTAAGAATCTTATCCCCATCTTCTTTCATCATACCCATCTAGACAAGAAGAAAACTATTAAGTGGGGGGTTCTACCTTCCCCTGCACACTCAAACTAAACTCTGTCTTGAAAACTTGTAAGCCAGTCACTTCGTGCCTTTATTGCCCCCTCATTTTAGGTAGCCAATGTCTAAGTTGCCTGTCCCTATCTTCCCTGTGTACAGAGGGGATAGGATTTATACTTGATGCGAAGACTCCTTCCCTCTCAATCCAAGTGTTCATTCGTAAACTTCAAAGCTTCGAGTGCATGCACCTCCCGACGAGGCTACAGCCAAGGCTGCCTTGTGAATTTGGACTTAGCTCCACAAGAAGTCATTGCCTGGGTCATTTTAGAACAAGGATTTTTACCTAGGTTTTCCAGGACTTCTTAAAACTATGCAAACTGCCGAGCCTGTATGTGTGTGTGCGTCTAGGGAAGAGTATGTACGTTGCTTTCATCCTAAAACCACAACTTTAGAATCATCTGCGTCCATAGAGTGGAAGAACATGAGCGACATCCCTGACCTTCCCCTCCCCATCCTCTGGAAGGCCCAAACGCTATCTTCCATGAGGGACTCTCTGAGAAGAAAAGCAATAAACCGAGGCACACGAAAACTGCAACCGCAGCTGGACTGCAGAGACAAATTTATTTCTCTTGCTAATCAAAAAGGACCCACTTGGGTCCAGTATTGCCAGCAAGATTCTGGAGCCCCATCCTGAGGGGAGGAACGAGCCGCAAATCCTTCCCAGCACTGATTTATGTAACATTCATGCGGAATTTATTATACAAAGAATTTTATTCAATTACACTTGAAATGCCTCTGGATTCTGAAAGGTTCTCTGGTGATAACTGGGACAGAGTGATCATAAAACTGGATGGGCTGTCGGAAGAAGGTGTTGGGGAGGAGGCAAGGGTGACATTGCAACTGACGGGGGATTCGGAACCGGAGACATTTGTCATTGGGATGTGTTACAAGTTCGGGCTGCAAAAATTACTTGGTGAAAAAAAATGCACATTAACAATAGCCATGAAATATCAGTTAAGGGAAATGAGGTTGAGAAATGAGACAGGAGAATCTATTAGTGCCTGGCAGTGCTTACCGCAGCCCAGGTCATGATGAAAATGGCTGTCGAACAAGCAAGGGGCACTGCGCCCAGAGTCAGGAGGTCAGGTCCAATCTTGTTTTGACCCCCTGGGTTACAGGGGTTCTCCCTTTTGTGCCTCAGTCTCTTCACCTGCAGAGGGGCACATACAAGTATCTCCCTCCAGGGCTGCTGTGAGGTGTCGATGAGCTAATGTCTGGGAAGCACTTGGCTTGGTGCCTAGCACATATCAGGCACTTCCTGGCTGGTGTCATTATTATTGTGGAGATTTCTAGGATGAACTCTTTAACAAGGAGTGCTTCGGTGGTGCGAACAGTTAAGCATTTGCTGACTAACCAGAAGGTTGGCAGTTTGAACCCACCCACAGATGTCTTGGAGGACAGACCTGGCGGTCTGCTCCCTAAAGATCACAGCTCTGCAAACTCTATGGAGAAGTTCTGCTCTGCACACAAGGGGCCACCCAGAGTCAGATTCGACTTGATGGCAGCTAACAAGAGCTCTTCTTTGTGCAGGGTGCTAATCACTGGCCTGCAGAGCAGGGCTAGGCTAAGGGTGCAGCTAGTGAGCAGGTTTCTTAGGGACAAAATTTCAGGGCATACCAGAGCACTCAGTATTCAACATCAATAATATTGTAATGGAATGTGTTACTTTGGATTTAAATAATCTTTTTTATTGTGATTTCACATATGTATATACATACACACGCTGTTGTTGGTATTAAGCACCATGGAGTTGGTTCCGACTCATAGTGACCCTGCACAGGGTTTCCAAGGCTGTAAATCTTTACGGGAGCCTCATCTTTCTCCCACGGATCCGCTGGTAGTTTCGAACTGCTGACCTTGTGGTTGGCAGCCCGACTTGTAACCACTACGCTACCAGAGCTGTTAAGTGCCTTCAACTCAGTTGTGACTCATAGCGACCCTGTATAGGTTTCTGGAAACGAATTAGTGGGTTTGAACCATCGACTTTGCGGTTCGCAGTCCAGTGCTGATCCTACAGTGCCACACCAAGCGTCTCCCTCTATTTATATATATATTGTTAAGTGCCGTCAAGTTGATTCTGACCCATAGCGACCCTGTATAGGGTTTCCAAGGTGCAGCTGGTGAGCTTGAACTGCCAACCTTGCAGTTCAAACGGCTTTGCAGTCTGGCGCATTAACCCACAGTGCCACACCAGGACTCTCTCTCTCTAGCTCTGTATATATATATACACACACAAAAAAAAAAAACATTTGCCATTTCACCATTTTTTATATGTGCAGTTCAGTGACATTACTTCCTCCCAATTATGGTGAGCTGCCATTACCACTACCCATTCCCAAGTTTTTCCATCACTCTTCACAGGAACTCAGTGCTCCCTAAGCTTCATGCCGGATTTTAAAAAAAAAACAACAAAATAATGGTTCCTCCCAAAGAAATGATGGTGAATAAAATATCACAATTTGAAATAAACAGGGTCTTAGTTTAGGACCACGCATGACTGTGTAACGGGCACGGTCCTGGGAGGGCTGACAATGCGAGACTTCATAGATTGTTGTGGGGTTTTTTACTGTGTTGTTGTGTGTGGCATCCAGTCAATTCCAGGTCATAGTGACCGCAGGTGACAGGGGAGAGCTGTCCCTGGGTTTCCCAGGTTTTCATGTTTACAGAAACAAGTCGCCAGGTCTTTCCCCAAAGAGCTGGGAGGTTTAGCCAAAGCCCTTTCGGTTACCAACAAGCACATACCACTGCATCATTAGCTCTCTCTCTCTCTGTTTTTTTAATTGTAGAGATTTTTATTACGTTTTCCCACTTGATTCAAAATATGGGAGGAAATTGTGCTAAGTGTCCACAGAGACTACACTTTTCCTTTTATCAAAAGATTCCAATGTGTCTTATTGATACTGCTAAAGAGCAAACATTTCACTCCAACCCATCCTCTGGGTCCACGAAGGGACGCTTTCTCAGGTTTTCCCAGGTTGGCAGCCCGGGAGAGGAACCTCTCCAGGGATGCAGAGTATGCCCTGCGTGTGGCTACTCAGGACAATGTTTGCTGGTGAGCACAAAGGTCCAGAGCTGGACTTGGGAGCCTGGGCGTTCACATCCATCCTGCAATGGCCTGTCCTTGAAAGGACTGGTGGGTACAGGACCTGCACATGGCTTTGTTCCAAAGATGCTCACTTGAGGGTGTTGCAGTTGCTCAAAGGGCTCCTGTCATCTATACAGGATTTCTTACATGGCTAGGGGTATAGGGTGTTTTATTTTACATATTCTGCTCTTTCCAGGAGGATCTTGAGGTGAGAACAGAATTGGATGATTTGTTCTTGGTTGAGGCTTGGAGTTTAGACGGCATACTTAACTGCCATTAAATAGCTGCTGCCGCCGCCGCCGCTACCACCACCACCACCGCCACCACCACCACACCAGTTGTTGCTGAAGTAGAACTATGTGCCACAGAGTTTCCAATTCTTTAGAAGTGGATTTCCAGGCCTCCCTATAGATGCCTCTGAGTGGACTTGAACCTCCAACCTTTTGTTTAGCAGCTGAGTACCTTAATCAGACTAGACTCCATTAGTCTCTCCTGCCACACTGCTGCTTTCATTTCCTGGGTCTAGTCCTGTGTACACACACCTAGCAGCCACTGTGCACCCAGGCAAAGAGTAGCTGGTGGGTTTGAACCACTGACTTTGTGATTAGCAGTCCAATGCTTAACCTAAAGCACCACAACAGGACTCTCATGCTAAGCTGGCCCCAGTAAATAAATGACTGCTGGGTTGAGTTCACCAGTCTTGAGGGTTGCAAGAACCTGCCCTTCCGAAGAAGCAGCATTTGCTGCAATTAGTGTGGAATCATCAGGCGCTCAAGGCTGCCTCTCTGGCCCTTATAAAAAGCTCCTTTCCAAGGACAGAGCTGCCACCGGAGGGGCCTTCCATGATGGGAGGGAGCAGTGGTGACAACGGCAATAAAAGACGTCGGCTTACAGGGGCATAAACCAGCCAAGTGCCACCTCAGAGAAATAAGGTCTCGTCAATGTCAACCGCACTGGAAACGGAAAACCTCGTTTTCTCCAGCTGTGCCCATGCCCTCCTCAGACTCTGGACGCCGCCAGCTGATTGGGCAGAGACAGGTAATGCCATCCTGGAGGGCTGGTGTTCTTTCACCGGGTCTCCACCCCTGCGCCGCCCCCACACGTCAATTCAGTGGAGTGTTTCGGAGCCCTGGCTTGTAAATCTGCAGGCGGCCTTCTCCACACACTTCGGCGGTGATGGGTGGCTCAGAGGTGGCTAACCTTCCAAATCCTGTCTGCCTTCTCTGTTATAAATGTGACATTTAGAGCTCCTCTGGCACAGGTAAATCACAATTACTTTTCCAAGGGCCTTTGGTCGCAGCCCAAAGCCTTGAACTACTTGAGTACACGTTCAAGCTCACAGGCACGCGTGGGCTCTCTCACAAACACACAGAGGTTCAAGACTGTCCCACTTTTATTCTTTTTTTCCACAGGCTCCTCATCCAAGCTGTCACCCTCCCTTTCTTATCCACAATACTGAATTCATCCCCACCTTCTTTGAGGCAAAGGGGAATCTGGGACAGGGCCTCTGAACCAAAGCTGAGTCTGGACACAGGCCAGCCCCCAGCCCCCTGGACGGTGGAAGCAAGCTGTACTCTTCACCTTCTGGCTGTGAGCACCACCGGGGCCGTGGGTCCTGCCGTCAGGGTTTCTTGTAGATCTTTTCCTGGTTGCCCTCCTTCATGGCTGCGAACCGGGCTACCGTGAAGAGGTAATCACTGAGTCTGCCGGAGGAGGGAGAAGCACAGGGGGTCACTGAAAATGAGACCAAGGCTGAGTCTTTCCACATTCACCTTCAAAGAGGAAATAAACTGTGTGCCTCAGACAACGGGTGACCAACCAACTTGGATGGATGGATGGCACACAAGGGGAACTTCCATGATAACCAAGGTGCCCTGCTCCCAACCTAGCTCAGGAGGACAGGCGCCTCTGACTACTCCCCGTGCATCTTCCAATGGCCAGAACTGGTACTCCCCAGACTGCAGTGTGTGTGAGCATGCAGCCAGGCCTAGGTGGGTGCGCAGGCTTTGGATTCTGCTGGGGGGCAGCAACGTGCCTGCTCCCATTGCTGCTTTAGTGAGGAAATGAAGGAGACTGGCCCACACACACTGCTTGCAGCTTGTGCAAGGGCTGGCTGAGCAGAATCCCATTTCCTGGGCTCCCTGGTGGGTCATCATCAAGACATCCAACCTCAAGGACGTCCCCTTGCAACTGCTCTGACCCTTTGCACTAGTTTTTCTCAGCTGGCCTTGTCCTACCCTGACCTGGGATAGGTACAGCATCTGCCTGGTCCCCAGCCCCATCCTCATACCCAGTGCCTGGCACACAACAGCCACTTGGTGACTGTTCAGTGACTGACAGATTTCCTGTGAAGCCTACTTAAGTACCTGTTTAAGAATTTGGCCACGTTGGCATCCGTTTCTCCCATCTGGACAAGAGGCACCACGCTGGAAAGGGAGGCTATGTTAGAGTTCAGCACACCTACCACCTGGGACGGCAGCCTGAACCCCGAGCAGAGCTGCCCAGCCTCTGTAGGTACCAAAGTAAGGTTTAAGTCCCATTTCTCTGAAAAGCCAAGTGCCTGGCCCATGAATGGTGTAGATGTCAATTCTGCAATTACTCCCTTAAACTTTCCTTGAAAAGGCTGTCAGGAGCTTTTGGAGACCCCTCCTCTACCTAACTCCGAGTCAGGGTGTTTGGGGTGGGTCCATCTGGATCCCAGTGGCCTATGGGCCCTTCTAGACCCTTCTCTATGCAGTCAGAAGAATCCTTTCAAACTGCAGTTCTAATCTCAGCAAAGGATCTAAATCCCATGGAGACCCAGGGCCTATCAGTAACTTCCTGCAGCTCTCAGGATGGGGCAGACTTCCTGCTCTGGCCTGGCCTCGCCCCACATGCCTCTCGCTCTCTGCACCCAGGCCCTCCCACCTCCCTTCCGTTATTTCAAAGCAGGTAGCTGCCTCCACCTTAGCCCTTACCCTGCTGTCCCTCAGACCTGGACACTGCTGACTTCTCCCCTGACCCTTCAACTCTCAGCTCAGGTGGCACGGCTCTGAGAGACCTTCACTGCCTGTGTTCCTGAGGCTGGGACCTCCTCCCATGCTGCTCATACTTACTGCCACATAACACTTAACAGAGATGTACGATTATATCATGTCCATGTGGTTTGTTTAAGGAGCCCTGGTGGCACAGAGGTTAAGTGCTCAGCTGCTAACTTAAAAGTCAGTGGTTAGAACCCATAGAACTCTATGGAAAAAGATATGGAGTCGGCTTCCATAAAGATTTACAGCCCTGGAAATTCCATGGGGCAGTTCTACTCTGTCCTATGAGGTGGAACCAACTTACCAGCAGTGGGGGGCGGGTATTGGTTTGCTTGGCTATTTATCATTACCTCTCTCCCTCTGGAACGTTCAGATGCTGAGGCCAGACTCAGGCAAGATGGTCAGTGAATGATTGGATGCCCCCACAACTGCCTCCCACCCTGACAGAGCTCCTGCTCCCTCTTCTTCAGGCCCCCTTACCGTCTCTCAGCTCGGCGGCACACGGTCCGGCACAAGTGCAGCACAGAGCTGCTCTTGCCCCCTGACTGAAAGGACAAAGTGGGTGTTGGCTGAGGCAGAGATGTGCGTGTGGAGTGCCCACTGCAGACAGGCCCTGCCCCTCTACCATGGGTGGGACTGGGCAGGGGCCTGGAGGGGACTTAGGGGGCCATTTCTGTCCCTCCCTCTGCCCACCCCAACCACCCCAGGGTAAAGGCCATCCAGTACCTACAGGCAGAATGAAGGCCGTGAGTGGAGGGAGCTGACTGGAATACTTGTCTATCCACTGCTCCAGCTCCAGGACTGGCCCCTCGGTGAATGCGGTGTGTTCTGAGGGGTCGGGAGCAGAAAGGAGACACAGTAAGACCCATTGCGTGTGATCGGGAAATAGCCCGGGAAGCCACGCAAACTAAACTCTCAGGGTCCACCAATAAGGCTGACACATCCCAGGTGGTGACACCCAGACCCCACCCCACCCCTCCCCACACACCCCTGGCTCCTGGGGCCCTCTCAGCACACACAGAAGGTCCCAGAATTACTTAAGTGCGCCTCCCTGGCAGAGGAGCGGGGCGTGGCAAGGGCAGCGCTGACATCCTGCAGGGTGCACTGGATCTGGAGGAAGCAGCAGAGGGTGAGAATGAAGCTCTGTTTGTGGGGGCTGGGCACACACAAAGGAGTCTTGGAGGCACTGGGATTCAAGTGCTCAGTTGCTGAAGAAAAGGTCGGTGGTTCGAACCCATGGGAGAAAGACGTGGCAGTCTGCTTCCATAAAGATCACGGCCTCAGAAGCCTACAGAGCAGTTCTACTCAGTCCTGCAGGGTGGTCAGGAGTGGGAATTATCTCCCCAACAATGGATTTGGGGGCACACACCACACTGATCACAGGCAAGGTGAGTGAGGGCTGGTGGCAGGGCCCTGCCAGGACCCCTAATCAGCTTGAATGTAAAGGCTAATAAGCAAGATATCTACACCTTCAGTATGACCCCCTCCTCTGAGCACCCAGCTGCTGATGCCTACTGGTCAAGCTTTTTGAGAGGCCTAGGGAGGAAACACCTGGATTATGCAGATAGATGGTGTCAAGCATCCCAGTGATGGCAAAGAGGGACCTTCTGGTCCTGATCAGTGTCTGCCTGGACCCTGCAAGCTTCTCTCCTTTTCCCTGCACTGACCGTTTTCTGTACGCTAGCCAAAAGGTTGATGGTTCAAACCCCAGAGCCACCCCATGGGAGAAAGATGGGGCAGTCTGCTTCAGTTCAGATGACAGCCTTGGAAACCCGATGGGGCAGGTCTACTGTGTCCTACAGCGGTGCTATGATTCCGGAATCAACTTGACAACAATGAATTTGGCGCTTCTTTTTTTTGTTAGCAGTTGGGTCAAGAGACAAAATGTGCTTTCTAAACTGTGAGGGGCAGGAATTGCAAGAATGTGGTCCGGGAGTCAGCTCAGGTTTGTGAAGGGTTAAGGGTAAGGAGGTTTGGAAGCAGAGAGTATGGCTGAGGCAGCCCTTCCAGCTGAGAGGACTGTAGGTCCCTGAGAGTTCTCAGACCAATGAGACCCCGCTTCTGACTTCACACTGGGTCAGGTGCATTGAGCTGGATGGCGGCTGTGGAAGGGAGGAGGTCAGCAGGACACAGAGGATGAGAGCACAAGCGGCCAGCTCAACACTGGACACTAGCCAACTGCAACTCTGTGTCTTCATGGAGGAAGAGGGGAGCAGTAAGTAGTGCCCTCAGGGTTGGCTAACTACAGCGCTGACCATCAGGGGCCAGCGAATGTTTGCATCAGTTTGAGAATCAAGATAAGCCCCAGCTGTGCTGAATCCCGGCCATGAGGCCATGGGCCAGTCTCCATTTATCAGCCTCAATTTGATCTTTATGAAATGTGGACGCCAACCTCCACCTCATGGCCTTCTAAGAAGATTAAGCATGGCCATAGCCGGCAGCAGACCCAGGATCCTCTTCTGCTCCCAGGAGCCCTGAAGCATCACGAGAGCTGATCCTCCAAGAAGTTTGGAAAGACTCAGGTCAACCTGCACTCAGAGCTAACTGAGCCATGAACACATCTGTGGTGTTCTGGGCTGGTTTCCAGGCTCTGGCTTTCAGGTTCACTCTGTGAATCAGAGTGTTCACTGCTTCTTGTGGAGCAGAGAAGTAACTCTAACAACTGTGGGGTCCACCAGCTGAGGGCTCCTGTGACTGGGCTCTCCCAGGGACCACCACATTCTGGGCTGGCTCCTTCTCTGTGGTGAGGCTGTCCTGGGCACCGTAGGATGTTGAACAGCATCCCTGGACTTTACCCACGCACCGCCAGTAGCACTGTCCCATCCCAACTCGCGGTAACAAAAATGTCTCTGAATACTGCCCAGGGTCCCATGAGGGGCAGAGTCACCCTGCACGTTACACGTCTCTCATGAATGCAATCCTCACCACCTCACCTGCCAGAGAGGGTTGTCTAATCCAACCCCCCAATTCACAGGGGATGGACAATGCTACTCACTTTCTGAAGCTCTTCAGCAAATGTGTGGCCTTTTTCTGCAATTAATTCCATTGCAAACCTATGAAGAAAATGGGAAAAATTGTTTGCCTCTAATAGAACATCCCCAGGACCTGTTTGGCTGAGAAGATTCTCAGATGGTAGACCAGTAAGCGATTTTTACTGTAGAAAGTCATGGGCTTATTTTTTCATGCTGACAGACAGTAAAAACATCATAACCTTTCATTTGCATAGGGATATCTGCTTCTCAGAATGCTTCTTCCTCTACTCATTTATCCACTTCGCCATTACTTTTGCCAGGCCTGAGGACTCAGTGGGAAGCAGAAGACAGTCTTCCAGTGATGGACATTAAGGCTGTCTTCATTTGTTTTTGCTATTGTGAACAGTGCTGCAATGGACATCAGTATGCATATATCCACTCATGTCATGACTCTTATCTCTGTGGACATGGATCAAATAGAGGGATTGCTGGGTCATATCGTATTTCTATTTCCAACTTTTTGAGGAAGTACCATACTGTTTTCCGCAGTTGTACCATTTTTGAGTCCCACCAGCGATGCGGGAGGATCCCAGTCTCTCCACACCCTCATCAGCATTTGTTGTTTCTGGGTTTTTTGAACTTTGCTATTACTGCTGAGGTGAGATGATATCTTATTGTTGTTTTGATTTGCATCTCTCTTAATGGCTATGGGTCAGAAATGACTCAACGGCACACAACAAATGGCTAATGATTGCAAACATTTCTTCATGTTTGTTGGCTGCCTAAATGCCTTCTTTGGTGAAGTGCCTGTTCATGTTCTATGCCCATGATTTAATTGAGTTGTCTTTTTCTTGTAGCGGTGTTGTAGTTTTCTACACATTTTAGAAATTAGTCTCTTGCTGATACATCATTGCAAAAAAAAAAAAAAAAAAGTTTCCAGGCTGTGGGTCTCTTTTAGTAAAATCTTTTGATGCACCTAGTGCTTAAATTTTAGGAGGTCCCAGTCTTTTTATATATGGTGTGAGATATGGGTCTTGTTTCTACAACTGCATTTCTAGTTTTGCCAGCACCATTTGTTGAAGAGACCATCTCTTTCCCATTTAATGAGTTTTGGCCGTTTGTCAAAGATCACATGACTGTATGTGGATGGATTTACTTCTGGGTTCTCAATTCTGTTCCACTGATCTACGCATCTTTTGTTGTACCAGTACCAGGCTGTTTAGATCACTGTAGCTGTGTAGTAGATTTTGAGATCAGGGAGTGACAGGCTTCCAACTTTGTTCTTCTTTTTAAGTAATGTTTTGCTTATCCAAGGTCTCTTTCCTTTCCATATACAGTTAATGATCAGTTTTTCCATCTCTTTAAAGAACGACATTAGATTCTGGATTGGAATTGCTTTGGGTAGTACTAACATTTTCACAATGTTAAGTCTTCCTATCCATGAGCATAGTATAATCTTCCATTATTTACGCCTCTTTTGGTTTCTTGCATTAGTGTTTTATAGTTTTCTTTGTATAGATCTCTTGTTTTCTGTGGTTAGATTTATTCCTAAGTATTTCATCTTTTGGTGGCTATTGTATATGGACACAGCGTAAAATGTTTTCCTGATTTCCTTGTCAGAGCTGTCTTTATTAATGTACAGAAATCTAACCGATTTTTGTATATTGATCTTGTAACCTGCCACTTTGTTGATTCCTCAGTGAGTTCCAATAACTTTCTTGCTGAGTCTTTGGGATTTTTTTATGTATAGAATCATGTCATCTAAAATAGAGTTTTACTTCTTCTTTGTCAATTTGGATGACTTTAATTTCCCTCTCTTGCCTTGCAGCTTTGGCAAGACTTCCAATGCAATACTGAATAGAAGCAGCAACTAAAATGTTTATCTTACAGGTTCTGGAGGTCAGAAGTCCAACATGGGTCTCAATGGACTCAAACTGAGGCATCGGGAAGGAAGCCATATTTAGAAAATCTAATACACAACGGGAATCCTGGTAAGGCACTGTAGGATATGCACTGGATTGTTAACCCCAAGGTCAGAGGTTCAAACCCACCAGTTGCTCCTTGTAAATCTTATGGAGGGTCACTGAGTCAGAACTGAATTGAAAGCACTTAACAACAAAAACACAACACAATGGACTGTGCTTGGTTTACTTCAACTCACTTCTTTCACATACTCTACGTACTTCAATAGTATGCACCTGCTACCTTGAGAAGTGATGGAGCTAAGAGTAAGGGAGGAAGCTTCACATGGTGAGGGACAGATGCCAGTCTGAGAGCCAGAGGGGAAGGTACGGCAAGTCCATTGAGGGTTAGCAACCTCCAGAGCTGGCCAGTTCTCATGAGTGCTTTACAGAAATTACACTTACTAATGCCCAATGAAAACTCAACCTCAAGCCGGTCCAATCTCCCTTACCCGATAATTGAACTTAATTCATCTGTCGTTCCAACAGCTTCAAACACATGATCATCTTTGGATCTTCTTTCTCCCGTGAAAGTACTAGAAAACCCTGTAGGAAAACAAACAACTTTTATCTCCTGATAAGTTCTTTCAAACACCTCAATAAGAAGTATATTGTATACACAGAAAGTCCTAGGTGTGCAAGCTGATGAACTGCTACCAGCTAAACAAGCCTTTGTGATCAGAACCCAGATCAAGAAACCACACAACCAACATCCTAGGGTCCCCACATCCTAAAACCCCCAAATATCTTCTCCAATTGCTACCCCTGATGGGTAACCAATATCCTAACTTCTTTCATAATATACTTCTTTTTTTTAAAGTTTTTATTGTAAATTGAGTAAAAGTTTACAGGGCAGATCAATTTTACATTCAACAAATCATACACCTTATTTCATTACAATGTATATAATCCCCTCCGTGTACCATCAGGTAACAGTATTTCTCT